GCCCAGCCGCCCGTGGAACAAGGGGCTCTGGGATGTGTAGTCGCCCGCATGTCCCTACATGTCCTATCACAGGAAGTAACTGACAACCCAAGGGACGCAGGGCTTTTGTGCTAAAGCTGTAAAGGTCCCGGGTGAGCAGGACGAAGTGATGGCCCTGGCTCAGACCAGCAATGACCGGGCCCGACCTCAGCACGTGCGTTTCTGAGCAGCAGCTGGAGCGCCCATCAGATTCCTCCCGGGGACCGTAATCCCCGAAGGGGGACGGTGCCACCTCACACTCCTATCTGTGATGCTCGCCCTTCAGGGCAGGTCTGGGAAGAGACGCTGAGCTGCTGGGATGTGATTGGTCAGCTGGACAACAGAGGCCCCTACTGTGGCTGATTTGGGTGTTGGCTGTCAGTGGGTTCGGGGGGTAAGGAAGCGGGGGCTGTCCCAGGAAGATAAGGAAGTCATTTGAAAAGATCCTGAGAGGTTGACTCGTCCTCGGGTTTGGACACGTGTATTCAGTTAACATTTACTGAGCACCTACTTGTGCCAGGGGTCGTACAAGGCACCCAAGCAAAGACAGCCACACCGCAGCCACAGATGGGGCTCTGGCGTGGCCACCTGGGGTCTGAATCCCAGCACTGCCTTTACTGGCTGTGTGACCTCAGCCAAGTTGCTGCACCTCTCTGTGCCCCTATCCCTGACTTCGTAAGATGGGCGTGAATAACTCCTGGATGTTATGAAGAAATGATGCATGAGAATGGTAAGCCAAGGCCAGGCTCGAGCACACTGAGTGTGCTCACCAGCCTTCGTGCGGTCTAGGGTTTAGGCCATGTGTGGCGTGAGCCCGCAGCTGACACGCGTGAAGGCTGCGGGAACAGTGCTGAGGGTGCGTTGCACGAGGGCGGGGGGGGCGGCCCGCAGCTCTGATGGCAAGTCAGACACAAGAAGGTAATATCAGCATCAACTCCTGAAGCATTTCCAAGTGGCCAGAAGACTTAGCACACTCACAGCATTTTTTTTTGTACTTTTTTTTTTTGAGAGAGAGTGTGAGCAGGGGAGGGGCAGAGAGAGAGGGAGACACAGAATCCGAAGCAGGCTCCAGGCTCTGAGCTGTCAGCACAGAGCCCGACGCAGGGCTCGAACCCACGAACCATGAGATCATGACCTGAGCCGAAGTTGGACGCTCAACCGACTGAGCCACCCAGACGCCCCACTCACAGGATTTCTAAGAGTCGTTATCAAAAAAGTGCTATCTACTTTCTCTTAACCTAAAAACACCTTTTTCTCCTTCAAATAGCAATATCAAAGATACATTAAAAACACGTGGCAGGCAACTGGGTGGCTCAGTCGGTTAAGCATCCAACTTCACATCAGGTCCTGTTCTTTTGTTTTGTGAGTTCAAGCCCCTGTGCTGGCAGCTCAGAGCCTGGAGCCTGCTTTGGATTCTGTCTCCCTCTCTCTGCCCCTCCCCCACTTGTGAGTGCTCTCTCTCTCTCTCCCTCTCTTTCTCTCTCTCCCTTTCAAAAATAAACATTAAAAAAATATTATTAAAAATATATATTCAGGGGCTCAGTCAGTTGAGCATCTGACTCTTGGTTTCAGCTCAGGTCATGACCTCATAGTTCATGGGTTCGAGCCCCGTGTGGGGCTCCTCACTGTCCATGCAGAGCCTGCTTGGGAGCCTCTCTCTGCTCCTCCCCGAGGCAGGCACGTGCACTATCCCTCAAAACAAACTTAAAAAAAAAAAAAAACCATGTTCAACCTATTCGATTGTTCTTTTCGGAAAAAAAAAATTATTGACCGTGCCCCCGCCCCCACCACAGTGACTCTGGGACATGTTGTGGGACCCGGGACGCCTCAGGCTCCTCACAGCCCCAGCTGACAGCCTCTCGGCGACGGGAGGCCACACAGAACCTCCTCCACATCGCAGGCCCGGCCGCGTGCTGCTCTCACCCTGCACCAGGCCTTCTCGAACACCCGTGCTGGGCCGATCCCGCGTGGGAAAGACCGAGAAGCAGACTCGGCTGCTGTGAAAGAAGGAACCACCTTGCCCGGTAGCGCACGAGAGGTACAGGGAAGCAGACGGGACACAGGAAGCAGACCGGAAGCAGACAAATTACGGGAAGCAGACAGGTTATAGGAAGCAGATAGGACACAGGAGGAGACAGGAAGCAGACAAATTATAGGAAGCAGGCAAGAAGCGGACAGGTTACAGGAAGCAGATGGGTCACAGGAAGCGGACAGGCCACAGGAAGCAGACGGGACCCAGGAGCAGACAGGTCGCGGCGGCAGACAAGAAGTGGACTGGTCCCGGAGCCGTGGCAGACCTCCGGACTTCCGTCTGCCGCTGTCCCGCACTGCTGTCCCGCACTGGGAAGGGCTGCTCCCCGGACCGCCTCCTGGCCACGCCCTCCGACAGGTACGGCCAGGATCTGGGCTTGGCCCTCTAGTCACCGGCGTTGTGCGGGCTTCACAGAAACTCACGTAGCCCACTCGGTCCTCCCCCCCCCGCCCCAGCTGCTACCCACTCAGGCCCAGAACGGTCGTCATCACGCTCACCCGCGCTGGGGCGGACTTGCCCTCCCTTCTCGCGGCTCCCCCTCCGTTCAGCCCACGCGCTGCCGCACTTCCCCAGCTTCTCCAGAGCCCGTCAGCGGTCAAAGCTCCTCGTCCTCACCTACGACCATCCTTCCTTCTCTGCCCTTTGTAACCGTCTCACGGATTGTTTCATTCTGGAGGAAGCCATCGTGCCAGGACCTTCTGCCTGCTACGGCTGCTCCAGAAGTGGGCTGTTGGCTGTCCCTTTGCAGGGAGTGACTTTTATTAATTATATTTATTTTTTATTTTCAGAGAGAGGGGGAAAGCGGGTGGGGGGGAGAGAGAGAGAGAGAGAGAGAGAGAGAGAGAGAGAGAGAATGTTAAGCAGGCTCCATGCTCCACACAGAGCCCAATGCAGGGCTTGATCCCACGACTCTGGGATCGTGACCTGAACCAAACTCATGAGTCCAACGTTCAATTGACTGAGCCACCCAAGCGCCCCAGGAGCGGCGGTTAAACTGCAGGGTGGAAAGCTGCCTGCCAGCTGGTAACACGGTGAACGCCGCGAGTGACAGGCAAACACAAGAGCGAACAGGGACACGGTGCACTTGCGAGAGCATCGAGCTCTCCCGGCAGAAGGGGAGGCGCAGCCAGGCAGCAGCTCTGCAAACGGCCCCGCGTGGAGACCGGGTGCCCGGGTCTGTCGGGAGCCCCACTCCCAGGGGCGCGGGGACCCCCAGCCTCCCCGGCGGTCCCAGAGCCCTGGCCCAGCTTCCCTCCTGCCCCCGCGGCGCTTCAGCCCCACTGATGGCTTTCAGCTCTGTCCTCCTGGGGCCTCGGTCCAGAACTGTCCCCACCTGCCACCCGCACCCCTAGGCCAGGTTTGATGTTCTGCCTGGCTCGTCTCACGTTACATCCTCAGTGAGCCCTCCCCCTCACCCCCACCCCGTCTCCCATCATCCCTGAGGAGCACCACTGAGTCCTCCCATTCTGCCCATTGTTTCACTCGTCCTCGGGGTCCCTACGAGCCCTGTAAGAAGGGCCCGAGGCTCAGGTCCGCGACACCGCACAACACGCAGAGGGCACGGCGAGGGCCAGGTAGACCTCTGGCGGAAGGACGGCCGGCCTACCCCCGCACGACCCTGCCCCCTCCTGAATTTCCACTACGGTGGCAGGAAAGGGACAAGGACACGGACAACTGGACTCCATGGTCACATTTGGAACCTGACACTGAAGTACAAGCAGAATCCTCTGAGCAAGTTCCAGACAGTAGGTTTCAACACGGAAGGGCAGGCTGAGGCCTGGTTAGCCCAGGGAAGGGGAGAAAAGTGAGGGGCCTTCGAACACAGTCTCCCACACGCCCTCGAGGTCCCTCAGGCACAGCCCGCCACTTCTGGCCCCGTGTGGCGCCATCATCTAACCCGGGGTTAAGGCCCCTTCCTCTCGGGGCTCTTCCGTGGAGGAGCAGCGGCCTTGAAGTGCCTGGGCCCAGGCAGGTGCTCAACCAGTGATCATTTAAGGGTGAGAAGAGCCTGGTGAGGGGTCAGGAGTGCCCTCGGGCCACGGCAGGCACCCCAGCCGCATGCAGGAGCCCACCCTGGGGAAGAGCTGAACTGGCACTGTCTGGCAGGGGGCCCGAGCTTTGTGGGTGAGGCCATCCAGAGCCCGCACTGGCCCCACACACACGGGCCTCACCTCCAGATCCCCCAATCCCTGCAGATCCCAGCATCCCCTTCCCCCAGGGCGGGGAGGGCCTCCCGCGGAGACCAGTGGGCCCTTGAGAACAAGGGGGCAAGGGCCTCCCCAAAGCATCAGGAAGACACTACCATCAGGGCTTCCCTTCACCTGCTCTGAGTTTTCAGCGGCTTAGTTCAAGCCTGCCATGCACCACAGGCCTCCATCCGGGATGGGCTCTGATGGAGCGCCAGGCCAACTCCCCCTCCTGCCCCAGTTACAGCTGCGCTTCTCAAAGGTCGCCCCCCACTGAGGCTGCAGGGAGACCCCTTTGCGCCAGCCCTCTGTGCAGCTCCTGGCATGGAACGTTCTAGGATCTGTTCCACGGCCCCATCAGGGCCTCCGGGGATCAGGTAGGGGGTGGGACGGGCAGAGCAGCTGGGCGAGCAGCAGGACAGCGGACGCGGCCCCAGGGGGCTCCCGGGCCCGGAGCTTCCTACACAACCGCTCCCACCAACACTGACAATCTCGGGGCGGCCCTGGAAGGAAGAGAGCCGCGGGGCTTCTGCGGGTCCAGCTGTCTTAATGGGATTTTACTCTCGGCAGTCTCTAATCAAAAGCCAAAACACCCCACGTCACAGAGAACCTACGTTTCTAACTTTCATGTGACGTCTCCCTAAACAGCTTCCACCACTTCATTCATACCCGAGATCTATTCACAGCAGACCCTTGGGAGAAACTTCCGAACCACAGGCACCTTGGCTGATTATCAGTTATCAAAGAAGCAACCACAGCGGAGCTCACGTAAACTGCTCGTTTATTAGCATGGGCACCGCGAGATCACAGGTTCCGGGAGGCGCGGAGCTGCGTGGAGGAGGCGGCACGAGGCGAGGCTCAGGTGGGGGGTGGCGCGCTCCTATTTCTTCCACTCGTTCTTGTCGTAGTCCCACTTGGCCGAGAAGCCCTGGATCGGGCCGACCTTCATGTCCAGCATCCTCTTGGTCTGCTTGGCCACCCACTCCTCCTCGAAGGTGTGCGGGATGGGGCCGTACACTGCAGCCCAAAACAACGTCATGAGACACCGTCCCGACTACACGCGTCACGTCTTCCCCACCACGCTGGCCAAGTCATCTGCCACTCGGCACCCACACACCACACACACACACACACACACACACACACACCACACACACACACACACACACACACACACGCGCGCGCGCGCGCTTTGAATTCCAGGCATTGACAACTCTCGATGTTTCCAAAGTATCCTCTGCTGACAAAGGGTTACCCATCAGCGACAAGCCAGGAGCAGAACGTCCAGCCCGTGAGACGCAGACAAGGGGTCTACAGACCAACACTGAGCACAAAAGCCAAAGTGACCTGTGAGGTCAAATACATGCGCACGAGAAACACGTCCGCAGTCAGACCAAAGGTACAGGGTCACAGCCGTTGGGAACAGAAAACCCCGTCCTGCCGGGAGACACAGCGCGGGAAGGATGGGCAGCCCCTCCGTCTCAGCAGACGCCCTGCGGTCCGCCTCTGGAGACGAAGTCTCGACTCAGTGGAAACAGCCCTCCACTAAGAAACCGCGCCCTCTTCCTTGACGGACCCTCACCGCACCGGCCGGGTAACCGGGGTGGGGGGGGGGGCGCGCTCCCGCGCTACAGAAACGCAGTGTGCCCTCCAGAACGGGTGGCCGCTCCCTACCCAGCACAGCCCGCCGTCGGAACACCAGACTGTGGATCACACCGCGGCGCTGACCCGACCCGGTGTCGTGTGGCTGTGACCCAAGCCCCCAGCGCCCGCCCCACGCACCGTAGTGCTTCTCCCAGATGAGGATGAGAGCGGTGAAGCCGATGAAGAACAGGGCGGTGCCCACAACCGTCTTCCACTCGTTCGTGCTCCGGTTCATCTCAGCAAAGCTCTCATTGAACTTGATGCGGTAAACTGGGGAGAGAACATGGCCATTGGCACGAGCGTCCCCGGCGGGCCCGCTGCACCTCCCGCACGCGCAGCCCGGGGCAGAGCACGCGCTCAGGCTCCCCACACGGTATGCGGGGCGGCAGAGGGGACACACACACCGAGTCTGCTTTGAGCAAAAAACCCCACCAAACCGGGTCACCGTGCGGGATCTGCTGACCCCCCACAGCCTCAGCCCCTCCGCCCCGACGGCCACGTACCGTGCTGGCCCTGTCAGTAAGTCACAGCGGACACGGCCCGCCCGGCACAGCCGCCACGCTGCGTCCACACGCCCCACACCCGGCCGCCCCGCATCCACGTTGCTCCCAGGACACAAAGCCCCGGGCAGGGGGGCGGCCAGTCCGCTGAGCCAGGGCCCCGGAACCAGCCCACGAGGCATGACCCCCGCCAGCCTCCGGGCAGCACCCCACGCTCCCGGCCCAGAACCCGCTAAGAATCCTCTCTCCCACGTCTGCCACTAGTCCTGCTTCAATACCCACGTTCGACTTTCTCATCGATGGACAGGCTGCTCCAGGGGGCCTTCTCCTTCTCCTTCAAGGCCTTCTGGCTGGCAGACAGGTTCTTGACGTGCAGCACGTCGGGCAGGGGGTAGTCGCGCCTGTCCACGTAGCTCGGGAGGGCAAAGTCATCGCTCTTCACGACGCTTCCTATACGACACAGGGCCAAGTGTTTGAAAATTCACGGGTTCTGAGTGATCAAAATGAGGACAGGTGAAGGCCCCTGACGACCTCGCTCATCCCGGGGAGCTGAGGCCACGGCACCACACAGCCGACGCGCTGTTGTGGAAGCGGGGAGAGGCCTGTCCTGCGTGGCCCAGACGGCAGAACCGGGGTGCCGGGCAGCCGGGTAACCGCGGCTCTTCCCTGCAGCCAGCACGCTCCTGCCAGGGTGACTGCCGCCGGAGGCCGTGGGCCAGCCAGTACCAGCACCACCCAGTACCAGGCCACGCAGAGGGCACGCAGGCCCTTCTGCAGGAAACTCAAACTAAGGAGGAAGAGCAAAAACAACAAAAAACCCGTAAAAGAAACAAGCGTCCAAAGGTCAGAAACTGAGACACAGGGCTCCGTTTATTATAACAAACCAAACAAGCCGTGCCCATGAAGGAAGGGGCACGACTCCCCCACGGGGGCAGCAGGCATGGTCCGTCCACGGGTCAGCACTGCTTCCCGAGCCCCTGCTCCGCGGCCCCGCGGCTCTAGGGCGGCTGAGGGCAGCGAAGACGCCACCCGCGGCGCTCGCCGGCCAGAAGCGGACAGGCCTGTGCACCCGGGCTTACGGCGCGAGGGTCAGGAACAGAAAAGGCGGCGCAGAGGAAAGAAATGGGGGCGCACGCGCAGCAGGAAGCAAGGTACGACGGCCAGGACAGTGAGGGAATCGCCGTGTCCTCGGCAAGTCACGGGACAATCCTGAGACTTTTTTTTTTTTTTTTTAACATAAACCATCTGTGGACCTTCACATACGTACAACTGAACACACAAAACTCCCGGCAGCGCAAACCCGTTGTCATCAGCGGAGAGAGAAAACAAAATGGGGATTTCTGCTCCAAGAGAGAGGAATCTTCGTGCCTTAAAAGCAGCACACGTCTGTGTTACTTAAGGACAGAGAAAAATAGTTCAGAAACCAGGAAAGAAAAGAATATCTTCATTTATATTTAGGACTTTGCCGCTGCTGAAAGCCGTTTTTTCAACTCCATGCTGTGTCCACGGGAAAGGGCTGTGATCCACACTGGTCTGGAGGAGTGAGCTGAGCGCCTGGAAGAACACCCCACGCCCATCGGCAGGTCCCCGTGATCACAGCCCCTCTAAGGCAGGTTAGTGGTGAGACCCGCTGCTGCCCCTCAAGCAGAGTACAACTTGGCAGGTGCTAATCTGTGCCATGCAGAGCGGCAGCTGGCGTACACCTGGCCTGATCCCAAAACCTTTAAGGGGGACAGGACTGGAATTACTTTCCGTTTTTTAAAAGTCTAAGGTTCTATAAGAACGAGTGGACTAACAGGAACATATACAGCACTCAGCTCACAATGATCAGTAAAAACAGACGTAAGTTGGGGTAACGAGAACATTCTAAAACTGACCGGTGATTACTACACAGCTCGGGGACTAAACTCAAAACCACTGAAGGGCACTCTCACCAGGTCAACGTCCTTCGTGTCAATTACGTCTCAGTAAATTATACAAATGTGAACGCTCACCACCTTGGAGCACTCTCGGCATAAGACTGCACTTTCTAGAACAAGAAGGGCCTCAGAGCGGCAGGGATCCACGGCACTTGGGGCCTGGCCCCCCCACACCCCACAAAGATTAGCACAGCAAGGGTTCCTTTAAGAGAGAGACGAAAAATGGAAGAGACTTGTCAGTGCTGTCCTTAGCGGGTGGGTTCCTGAGCCTCCGCTGGGGAATCTGGGGACTCGGGAGCGGCCCCCATGGTCACATGTCACAGCACAAGCACCCAGACAGCAGCGGCTGCCAGGGGTGCTCTGCGTGTGGAAAACCGATCCGTGTATTCAGGTACCTCGCGTGAAAGCTAAAAACAAAAGGACAGGGGTGCCCGGGGGCCTCAGTCAGTTAAGCACGCGACTCCTGATTTCGGCTCAGGGCACGATCTCACAGTTCGTGAGTTCAAGCCCCAAATCGGGCTCTGCGCTAACAGGGCCAAGCCTGCTTGGACCCTCTGTGTCCCTCCCTCCCTCTCTCTCTCTGCCCCACCCCTGCTCATGGACGCACGTGTTCTCTCTCCCCACAGATATATATTGTAAAAAGAAAAAAAAAAAGAAAGGAAAAAGGAAAGGACAAGCCTCAGTGGACTGCAGTTTTCTCCACTGGCGTCCTGTGCACAGAAGACAGAGTAACGAACAAAGGCAGGTTCTCGGCCTCAAGAAAGCCTACATTCTGGAAGCAGAGACGGACGATACACAGAAACCCCAGTGTCAGCCCTCCAAGCAGACAAAGCAGGGTGACGTCAGGCGGGCAGCACCTTTACAATGGGCGGCGAGGAAAGGCCTGGCGCTGAGGCTGCCGATTAGAAAGAAGCCCCACCCACAAGCGTGGAGCTGAGGCAGAAGCAGGGGTGCCGCAGGCCGGAACCACCCCACCGGGGGTGACGGGGGCCCTGAGCAACCCGGGAGAGTGGGTTTGCACCCGTCACTTCCTCCTGTGAGGACGCTGTGACAACATCAGAGAGGCGAGTCCCAGGTCTTACCCTGGACAAGAGAAGCCGCTGGAGGATTTCAAAAAGGACCTAACTGAACTTCCAGCCAAAACAACACCTGGGCTAAGTGCAGGCCAACATCGCTGTAAAGAGAAAGAAGGTGCTTCTTACGAAAGGTCAGAATGACCGAGGGGACAGGGAGGGACTTTTAGGGCGATGGAAAGGCTGTCGTGCTGTGGCACCGCTGTTACACACCTGTGGGCGCTTATCAAAACCCACAGGACGTTACACTCGGAACAGATAAAGCTCACTTTCTGCACCTCAAACAAACTAAACAAACTACACAAAGCTAAGAACATACATAAGCAAAGCCAAAATAGAAACAAAATATAATCTATCATAAATGACTTCCTAGATTTAAAAAATTTTTATTTTATTTATGGGGGGGCGAGAGGGAGTCCCAAGCAGACTCCTCGCTGTCAGCATACAGCCCAACGCAGGAATCAAGTCGGACACCTAACTGACTGAGCCCCCCGCCCCCGGCTTCCTATAATGAGGAGTGTCTCCTTCCATGTGTACGAATGAAACAACGAACTTGCCTTTATTACACAACAAACACTTCAACGATCCTCTCACTCTATGATCTGTGTCCACAGCGTTACCCTGGGCAGCACAATAGAGGAAAATGTAAGACAACACAAAGTAGCGCCAATTCGAGGACACAATTTCAAGACAAAATTCACACGTGAAAGCAGCTGAGGCAGTAGCAGTTACTGGGTATCAAGCCCCTGGATTCATAAGCTGTGCTCTCCAAGTTCATTATCACTGCTCAAGCCTTGCTCTTGACCCCTCACTGACACCACCTGCCATGCTAATCTGCATGTTGCCCTTTTGCGGGCTTTCCCTCTGCCTACAACGCCCGCCCGCCATCCTCCTCTGGAATGTAAGGTTGAACCTACTAATCCTTTAGCACAGAGAAGCCTCTCCTCCAGGTACCGGCCCTGAGCCCCAGGCCAGGCTAAATGTTTCTCCCCAGGGTGCCTCACTTCCTCAACCACTGTCCCTCTCCGGATTGCAAACGTCCTGTGGAAAGATTCCACCTTGTATTCTTTTTACTCTCAAACCCTACCAGCGTCTGGTGCAAAGGTGCTCAATAAATGCAAAACTAAACCTGCTATGTGCTAGGCACTGAACTAAGCTCTTTATGTAGATCTCAGGTGACTAAAGAGATTCCTACACTTAAGCTCATCCAAGACAGAAATGAGATTAACTTCTGCTCAGGCTAGAATTCCAAACTCCTTCCCTTCCATTGCCCCTATAATGTAATCGGTATCGAAGATAAACGTTTGGGAGTTTTGGGGGGATGAGAGAGGAGATCATTAAAGCCGCCTATGGTGGAAATCTCTTGGAAGGAGTAGAACTTGAGCCTGAAAAAATGGGAAGGGAAGGTAGGGGGGAAAGAGCAGTGCAAACAGAGATCCAGACTAGTATTCAACATGACTCACAACGCCTTGTAATCTAGAAGCATGCCCTGTTAAAATATTCACACCTCTCCTGAAGCCCCAGGACAGCAGAATCAGGATCTTAGCCACCTTAGACCATCTGCGTTTGAAACCCCAGCATAGGAGCTCACACCCAGTGGGAGCAAAATGAAATGAGCTCAGCCCATAAAAGAAGTTGCACTTACCATGGGCTCGAACACACACGGAGGTGGAGATCGCCCGCTTGCCAATCAGGCTGAACACTCTGGTAGCCAACATTCTGAAAGAGAAAAATATACAGCTCCTCAATGAATAAGGGCAAACACCTATTGGGAATTCCTGTGCATTTGGGAACGCCATGCGACTGTTTTGATGTCTTCTCCTCAACATATGGGATCCCCTGTTTCTTCATTACTGACTCTAAATTCGCGAAATACCCCAGGATAAGAGTTTTCCCAGCAATCAACGCGTTTTTATTAGTTTAGTTATAAACCAAATGCCATAACGTATACCTAAGACAAGAAATTAGCAGAAAACTGGCTTTGTTATAAAACAAGAAGAGATTTTATCGAGGAGACTGAAGGAACTAAAGCCTAAAGAGCTGAGCTGCCAAGATGGGCTCCAGTTTGGAGGAAAAGGGTAAACAGCTCAAAGGTACCGGCATGCATTGCATGCAAATGAGCATTTGGTGAGAACCCTAGCATGCGCCTAGAATAGGAAAAAGACATCAGGCGGGGAGGCTGCAGAGACGTCCTGGCCCACTGTCAGCGTCTGCGGACCACGGATGACCTGGACGGCCCACCTCTCACCGCGGACCTTGCAGCTTTGGGCCTGTCTCCCCTATCTCCCCCTCCTTCAAAAGGGGACCTTTCAGGGGACTGCTGACGACGAAAGGGACGCCGAACGCATTCAGAAAATACAGAATAAACAGAAGCATGATGTCAGGGCTGAACTGGCTTGCACCCCGCGTCTTTTCTCCCCAGGCCCGGCCCGCACGTGAGCGGACGCGGGACGACCCTCCCCGAGCCCCGTTAAACCGGGCCGGTCGCGCATCCGTAGCCGGAGGGCTGCGGGCCGTGGCTGCAGCGCCGACCCCCGGCCCTGCCCTCGGCCAGCGGGCGCTCCAAGGTCAGAGCCCGAAACTAGCCCGCGGCCGGGGCGGCGCCCGTGCAGCCTGGCGGAATGCTGCGGGGCGGCACACAGGCCTTGAGCCGGCGGCGCCCGAGCCCCGAAGCCCCGCCGGCAGGCCTCAATGTCACAGGACTCAGGCCCAGCCGCCGCTCCCTGCTGGCGCCGGGTCGCGGGCACGCTCGTCCGCTGGCTCCCGGGGCCCCTGGCTCCCCAGGCCCCGCGGCGAGGGCCGGCCGTCACCCTCTGCCCGCTCACCTGCCGCTGCCGCCGCCGCTGCCCGCCGCGACCGCCGCGACCGCCCTCTGTGCCCGGGCTGCCCGCTACCGGAAGAGAGGAACGATGGCACGCGCGGAGCACCACGGGATCGAGGAGGACCCGGCCGCGCCGGAGGTCACCCGAGCGGAAGGAGGGCCGCGCCGCGAGCGTCGTAAAAGGACAGGCCGGGCCGCTTTACGGCGGCGTCGGAGGCTGCTTTACGGCGGCGGCCGGCCAGGAGCGCGAGTGGAGTGTGAGGCGGGCGCGTGGGCCGCCCGCGGGCGAGAGCGGGTGGGTGAGGAGCCCAGCCCGCAGCGGGGCCGCGCCAGGCCGCCGCCGCTCCACCCCGCTTCTCCGCTGAGGTGCCGGGCGGCCGGGCGGGGAACCCAGGCCTGAGCCGGCGCCGGGGCCTCCGGGGCCCTGCCGGGCTCAGCATGCCCGGGGTGAAGCTCACCACCCAGGCGTACTGCAAGATGGTGCTGCACGGCGCCAAGTACCCGCACTGCGCCGTCAACGGGCTGCTGGTGGCCGAGAAGCAGAAGCCCCGCAAGGAGCACCTGCCCCTGGGCGGCCCCGGCGGCCCCCACACCCTCTTCGTGGACTGCATCCCCCTCTTCCACGGCACCCTGGCCCTCGCCCCCATGCTGGAGGTGGCCCTCACCCTGGTAAGCGCCGGAGGGGCGGCCTCCCCTCGGGGTGTGCGGGCGGGGTGGCGAGCGCGAGCCTGGAGCCCACCCCGGAGGAGGCGGCGCAGAGCGGGGCGGCCCCGCGGCCTCCGCCCGGCGCCCGGGGAGCGGGCAGCGGCCGCCTTTGCCGTCGGAGGCGCTTTGGGTCCGTTCCTGACCCCGGGGCGACCTTTGCGGGGCCGGGCTGTAGCTGAGTGGGGCGTGACTCGACCGCGCCCCTGCCCGGGGACGGGGAGGCCGGGGTAGGGGTGGGGAGCTGGTGTTAGATGTCGCGGGGGGGCTCCCCGCGCCCCTTCCCAGCCGCTCCGTATGAGACGCGGGTGTAGACGACCCGGCCCGTTGGCGGGGAGCGGGCCCTCCTCCCGATGAATGTGCGCCGGCGCCGGGTGGGCAGGGCCGCTCGGTTCCTGCGCCGGACTTCACCCGAAGGGGCCCAAGTCGTCCCTACCCGCCGCGCGGGGCTCGAACTCACGGCCCCGGCGTCAGGAGCCGCGCGCGCGCCGCCTGTTTCCGGAGCTGAAGACTGTGTGGGCCTGAGAAGCGGTAGCAGACGTGCTGTTCGGCCGCAGCACTCGGGGCGCGGAGCGGCTGGCGATGGCGCCCCGGGCAGTGGCGCTGGGGCCCCCCGGGCGGCGGGACGCACCGCTGCAGGGGCCGCCGGCCGCCGCGGCCTCCGAGCCGAGACACTGTGCACTTTTCACTAAGTGTAAACTGACCCTTGAAGTCAGTTCGCGCAGAACGTTGGGTTGGAGAAGGTTTAGGTAGAACTCCTTTCTCTGTGCTTCAGGTCAAGTAAAGTGAGCCCGTGTCACAGGTTCCTAATTCTGGCACCGAGGGCGTTCCTGGTAAGCAGGAAGGACCCTGGGTGGAGGGCCCGCCCCAGGCTTGGGGGCCCTGCCTGCGAAACTGGGCGAGGTTCTTCCGGGCAGGAGATAAGTAAGACGGAGATACTTAGAAATCAGTGTCTTAGCTACTCCTGAAGAAATGTGCTGTCCCGTGGGGTGGGGGGTGTTAATGCAAGTTTTCTTCATCCACCTGCCTTAGTTGCTCTGCTATCAAGGGAACCGCAGGCTGATTGGGTGTGAAACGCTGTCACCTGCAGGGAACTAGGTTTACCAGGCGCATTAAGGCAGGACTCTTCAGTGTCCCACTCGGGTGCCAGGCCTGGGCTGGGGGTCACCGCACCTGCTTAGCAGTTGAACTTGCTCCGGGCAGAAGGTAGTGTCTAAGAGCAAGTGCCCCGGGTGGGGGTGAAGCAGAACGCAGTGAGGGGTCCGGAGCTAGCGGAGCCCTGCAGAGGCTGAGGGGGCGCAAGCAGAGAGGGAGTGGCTCGGTGGGCCATACTAGTGGGGGGGGTGCGGGCGAAGGGGGAGGGCAGTCAAGGTAGAGGGGTGAGAAAACGGCCCGGGGGGGGGGGCGGGGGGCTAGAGTGTAGAGCGTTAAGGGCTCCAGGGTGGAGAGAGGTGAGCGCGGACAGAGTTCAGAGCACCATGCCGATCCCACGGGAGTGCGGGCACCGCCGTGAGGACAGAGGGCAGCCCCCGGAGGAGGGTCGCACGGGCAGGGCTGTGTGCCCGAGGAAGGGCTCCGGCCCGCAGCAAGGAGCGTGTCAGGGGCAGAGGCAGAGGGGTGGCCTCGACCGAGTGCAGCCTGGATGCAGAGGGGACAGATGGGGCACCCAGGCCGAAGAGGCCGCAGGATCCTGTGATGGGGACTGGACACAGGGAGAAGGCAGCAACGGTGACACCTGGTGACAGCCTGGTTTCCGACCTGCACTGGACACCGGCGGAGCCCTTCCTTGAGGGGGAAGGAAGACCTAGCGCTGAACGTTGAAAAACGGGCCTGGAGCTTACAAGCGGGATGGGCTGGAGACGACGGGGAACCGGGAGCTCTGCCGTGTTGGCAGGGGCAGCGTGTGGAAGGAGAGCGGGCAGAGGAGCGGCCGGAGGGGCCGCAAGGAGGCGCGTGTTCCTTTAAATCCGTTTGAAATCCTATCAGACGCCTCAGTCAGGCATCCAGCTGCGCTCGGGTCATGATCTCTCGGTTCGTGGGTTCAAGCCCCGCATCGGGCTCTGTGCTGACAGCTCAGCCTGGAGCTGCTTCGGATTCTGTGTCTCCCTCTCTCTGCCCCTCCCCTGCTCACGCTGTCTCTCTCTCTCTCCTAGAAATAAATAAAAAATATTAAAAAAAAAAAAAAAGAAATTGCTACAAGCTCAGGGCGCGTGGGGGGCTCAGTTGGTTAAGCGTCCGACTTCGGCTCAGGTCATGATCTCACAGTTTGTACGTTCGAGCCCCGCGTCGGGCTCTGTGCTGACAGCTCGGAGCCTGGAGCTGCTTCGGATTCTGTGTCTCCCTCTCTCTCTGCCCCTCCCCTGCTCGCACTCTGTCTCTCAGTCTCAAAAAAAACCCTATAAAATATGTAACCATCTTAAAGACAAACTTGAACCTCACTTGGAATTGTCAAAGAGTTCATTCTTCTCATTCTTCGTTAAGCTTTATAGAGTGAAAGGGTTATGGTACTGTCATAAGATATAAATGCAATACCTGAGAGAATGAAATATACTAACTATAAACAACTGCGTTAGAGTCACCTTTACGCGGATTTTCCCCGAGGACCAGAGCTGCCTCCCAAACCACTTACCTGGGGAGGGAAGACACCCAGAGGTAGACCTCGACTCTCATAAGGGCCCAGTGCCACCAACTTGTTAAGAGGAAAAGGGGCACCCCGTCCCTCTCCCTCTGCCCCTCCTCCACTTACGCTGTCTAAAAGAGAGGGACACCGCATGGGGCCCCGGTTGATCTTGCCTCCCCCCCGCCCCATGTCATTACCATCTGTTCTCAGTCTCTACTTAGAGCACTTCCCCCAGATGTGCCCTTCCGTGTTTGAGTCTCCCATCCTGCAGAGTTAAGTCTGAACTAGATTCTCTGCAACAGCTTCTAGAAAGAGCAAGAACAAGCCCGCTGGGGCTCCATCCTTGCCAGGAGACTGTGGGTTACACTGGCCCCTCTGACACTGACCTGCACTGAATCACAGCCCTAGCTTTAGACCCGTGTGAAAAAGATGCCAATTGAGTACAAATTAAATATAATTTTCAGAGTAAAGTGACAAGGGAAAATTTCCCATTTGAATCCAAAAAAAATTTTTTATCACAATTAAGGAATTTAAGTTTATGCCATTTAGCTCTTGACTTAGCAACTTTATAACCTGAAGAAATGAAAAATCTCTGCATATGGAGCCACAGTTTATCAGGCCATCAGCTATGGAAGATGAGGTTTTAATAAAGCTTCTAAATCCATGAAACCATATAAACGAGGCCTCGTCCTCATGGCTTTTTCTCTATTCAGGGAGTAATTATTTTTGGTAAGTGGGCTGACTTGATAAGCAGTCCATCAAAGGGCAACATCAGATTCCTTTGAAAAGCTTTTCATTATAATTTTCCATTTTAAACAAAATCCTTGCATTTCTGGGTGCTTTTCATTTTTTTTTTTTAAAGCACTTATGCCTGTTATTTATCCTTATAACCCTTTGACGTCGGTAGTGACGGAATTACTTCTAAGAGCAAAAACCCATAAAACGTTAGCAGGAAAATTAGCACAGACCTGCTGCTTCTCTAATCCCTTTTCGGCCTTTTCCCCTCAGTCCCTTGGTTTCCCGGTTCTGTGGAGCAATTTGTGATTACCTTCTGCTGACGTGACTTTCTCAGTTGCCAGTTGGTCTATAACCACCTTGATTTCTGTCCAGAATTCTTTCTGCTGCCTCCACGTGTGCCTTCTCTGTGCTCCTTTGTGGGGGCAGCTGTCCCCTGGCTCCTTCCTAAGCCCCTGTGGATTCTGCCCCCCCCCCCCGCCCCGTTACATCCAGAACATTCATGGCTAGCCTGGGAGAGGGTTGGCCCAGGCCCTCTTTTCAGTTCTTCCCCCCGGATCTCACCCTCTGCCCGTCCCACGTGCCTCCGGAGCTCCTCTTTCCTCTTTCGTGGCTCCGGCTGCTTTCCGTCCCCTGAGGACTCGGCTCTGCGCCCGACCTGAGAGGGAGCTTTTGTTCTCGTGCGTCTAGCCCTCCCCTTAGGCTCCCAAGACCCGCCCAGACACCCTCGGCTTGTAAGTGGCATGTGTGGGAGTGATGCCCTCCCCAGGGTGGCTCTCACCCTGCCTTCCCTGCTTTATGGCGCTGGCACGGTCGCGCGAGGTAGGTAAGAGTGCCGTGAAGATGATGGTGTCACACGCGTACATTAGCAAGTTCGCAGAGAGAAGCTGGTCGTTCTCGGGGCAGAGCTGAGCTGGCGTGAACGAGGGGAGCCGGTGCCTCTAGTGATTCTACGTGTCCCACACGGAACAGGCCAGAAGGGCGCGGGACGGAGGGCATGGCGGGCTTATGCCACCGTACAAGTGTCCCCCCTTGGCCTCTGAACGGTAAACATACAGGAGTAAGTGCAGAATCCAGGCCGTGTGCGGAGTCAGCTGTCCTGAGCTGTGGTCTTCGTGTGAACTGTTCCCAGGCTGCGTGGCGGGGGGGCAGGGACCGGGGACACGGACTCCCAGAGACCCGGGGTCAGACGGCCAGCCCTCCGCTCCTCGGCCCTGCCCTGCCCCCGCTTGGGAGCAGGTGGCCTTGACTGGGCGAGCTGCCTCTTCAATCCCCAAGCCTTTTGGGCTTTCTGCAGGATTGTGAAGCCCCTCGAGGCCTGCCCGCCCCACCCCTGCCCGTTCATACTGCTCATCTCTGCTCACGACATCTACTGCCTTCCAGGTCCCTCTCACCTGAGGAGGTCTGGTTCCATATTTGAAACCATCAAAGAAAACTTCCACTTGTTCGCCTGGGGCGCCTGGGTGGCTTGGTTGGTTAAGCGTCTGGCTCTCCTGATTTTGGCTCAGGTCATGGTCTCACAGTTCGTGAGTTCGGGCCCCATGTCAGGCTGTCAGCATAGAGTCTGCTTCTCTCTGTGCCCCTTCTCTGCTTGCGTGTACTTGCCCGCTTGCTCTCTCTGTCAAAATAACTAAACATTTAAAAAAATTTTTTTTTCAATACCCGACCTCTGCGGCTCTGGTGCCTGGTGGAGGCCCTCAGTCAGCTCTACATCCACCCTTCTGCGTTCCCAGCTGTGTGTGTGTCTGGACCGTGGATGCAGGGTGCGTGCCCATCATGGGCATCCTTACCGTAAGCTTGGTTGTCTTTGTTTGAACCATTCAAAAGTTTCAAAGCCAAGTCAGACCTAGTTCACTTTTAGGGCAGCCTTTTCAGAGAGTTCTAGAAGCTCAAGGTCATGACGCTATCTTTCGGCTGGAATTGGTTAGGCCGTTGTGTTTGTCACAAGAATCACATTCATGTCAGGATCTTTCTGTGCTCCCTGAGCACAGATGCAAGGTGATCCCACGTGGGTGTGCTGGGGGGCATGTCCTGAACTGTGTGCCTCCAGCCCAGGAAGGGATCGAGGGGCCGCACAGACTGCTCGCGGGGTAGTCAGAGCGGCAGCGGCAGCAAGTAGTGATCCTCATACTGAATGTAGCTGTGCTCAGTCAAAAATGGTTCCCTAACGTGTCCCTGCCCTAATGCTGGGAACCCACAAGTATGTGACCTTACCTGGCAAAAGGGACTCTGCAGAGATTAAGTTAAGGGTCTTGAGGTGGGGAGGTGGAGCTGGATGATCGGAAGAGCCCAGTGCAGTCACCCCGGTTCTCCCAGGAAGGAGGCGGGCGGGGCAGCGTGAGTGCGAGGAGGGGTGACAGCAGCAGAGGTCAGAGTGGTGCTGCAACCCCCCCCCCCCCGCCGTCAGGAATGTGGGTCACCTCTAGATGCCGGGTGGGCAAGGAGCAGATTCTTAGAGCTTCCAGAAGGAATCAGCACCACTGACCCATTTTAGATTTGTCTCTAGTTCTGACTCTGGCCAGAAGGACAAGCCTCACCAGAGAGCGGGAGAGGGACCCAGGTGGGCAGCGAGGACACGCTGAAGAGGCTAGTCCTGTGGGTTGCGTTCAGGGACTGGGTCGGATGCCAGAGTTCAGGCCAGGCCGCGTCGTTTGGTGCTGCAGAAAGTAGGTTTAGAAGAAAATGGAAGAAGTTGCTGCTGTAAGCCGCGCCTTTAAGAGGTGGTCGAAACAAAATACAAGTAGCTGTGGGGTCATTTGTAGCAAAGTTACAGGGAAAACGCCATTATAAATATTTAGGAGACACAGCCCTCATCTTCTGAGTGGGTGACCAAAACATCTAATTGGTTCATTGAGCCTTACTTTTGACCCAATATGGTAATTCGTGAGCTCTTAGGCGGCCAGAATTATTATTCTAATCCTTGTGCGAGCAGGGAACCTTGGACTGGAACCATCTGGTAATATCTCCTTTAGTCACAAAGGACACTGCCTGAGCCCCAAACCAGAGCTGAAGAAAAAGAACAGCTCAGCTATGCTGTGTGTTTTTTTAAGGAAAGAAGAATATTTTTAACTAGTTAATTTACTATAAAAAAATGACGATCGATGTTATTTCCTCTTCTGCAGGCTGAGAATAGAATTCACTGTAGCACGTTATTAAAATTCCATTATGGCAAAGCAGTTAGGATGACCTTTTGTTGTTGTTAATAATGGCATTAGACCCGCAGGAAGCTAAATCTGATGAGAGAAGAGCGGCACATTATAAAATGGACAAAAACTTTGAAAGTCGGCCCCCGTGCTCCCATTTAAAAGCATGCTGCAGGGAATGGAGTGCACGAGAGAGAATGTGTGTGTGCGCGCATTTGCATACACACCCCTGCTGACATCTGCCCACACGTGGGCGTGTGCCTCTCTACCCCACATCCCAGCATAAAACCTTCTCATGGTCTGGTGCTAAGAACACAGAAATTTAAATGTAATATAAAAAGGCTTGGTTTTAAGACGCCAAGAGCCAAGATTCCCGTTCTGGCTCTGCCCCTGGCTGTGCAGATTTATAGGTTTAGTTTCTTTGTGAAGGGTCGATTTCTGTGATCTGAAGCCCTGCCCAAGCCCCAGGATGCTTTATATCTTAAGAGGAGGTGGGTCGGGGAGCCTTGGTGGCTTAGTCTGTTAGCCGAATGACTTTGGCTCAGGTCATTATCTCATGGTTCATGGGTTCAAGTCCCGCGTCGGGCTCTGTGCTGACAACTAGCTCAGAGCCTGTAGCCTGCTTTGGATTCTGTGTCTCCCTCTCTCTCTGCCCCTCCCCTGCTCACACTGTCCCTCCCTCCCTCCCTCCCTCTCTCCCTTCCTCCCTCCCTCTCTCTCAGAAATAAATAAAACATTTAAAAAAAAAAAAAGGAGGTGGGTAAAGGTGGTCCCCTCCACCGCCTCCCCGCAGCATCGGCCCTGGGCCTGCTGGTGAGAGTGAGGCTCTCCCGTGCTCCCTGCGGCTCCCACAGGCCCTGGGTGGCACGCTGGTGTGGCCTTTGTCCCGGGAGCACCCGTTTTCTTGTGCTTTCTCCTGGGGACGAGGATTCAGGGATTATACAGTGTCTTGTCCCAGCGTGGGGTGGGAGGGGAGGGGCAAGGTGTCCTGTGTTTATTAAGAGGTGACATTTGGGACGCCTGCGTGGCTCAGTCGGTAAAGTGTCCGACTTCGGCTCAGGTCATGATCTTGCGGTCTGTGAGTTCAGACCCAGCGTGTGCTGACAGCTCGGAGCCTGGAGCCTTCTTTAGATTCTGTGTCTCCCTCTCTCTCTGCCTCTTCCCCACTCACTCTCTGTCTCTGTCTCTCAAAAAAGTAAAATAAACATTAAAAAAAAAAAAGGTGACGTTTAAGAGAAAATCATTCATCTTTTATTCCCTATGTTTGTCTCTTTCAGATTGATTCATGGTGCAAAGATAATAGCTATGTGATCGCCGGTTATTACCAAGCTAATGAACGAGTCAAGGATGCCAGGTACGTCCGAGCAAACCCTCTGGTCTGAGAGGATGGTCACGTGACCGTGTCTGCCATGCTGTCTGTGGGAACAACCCCTCCTCGCCTTCCATGCTTGTTTATAGTGTTTGCGGGGGGCTGTGGTGTGATCATTCCAAACAGCAGAAACCCTAACACTTCAATTAATTTGGGATGGAGTTTTGTATAGTCTTTATCTTGCTTGGAGGGAATTCATACAGTGAAGGCGACAGTCAGGGTCCCCCGATGCTGTCCCAGCTAGGAATGGTGTGTGGCAGAGCACTGGGGAGGAACTGTGCCGTGTCTGGGGACAGAGACCACAAAACTTTTAGATTCGCTGCTCTTAGGGTGCGATGCGCGGTGAAGGTGTCCTGTTTGCAGCTTCCTCCATGTGGCCTCTGGTTCTTGCTAGTGAGCAAAGCCAAGGACTTTGCTTCATTTCCGCATTAGTCTCCGTCTCCACAGAGAAAGCAACACGCTGGGGGGCTCGTCCGAGTGAGGGTCGTTTCCGAAGGTCTGGGCAGCGTGTGAGGGAACTCACGGCGGGGCGGGGGGGCGGGGGCTTGGACAGAAGGTGCCACCAGCCCTGCGCCTGCGGGGCCGTGTGTGCTAAGGGGGCGGTGCAGAGGGTGTGGCAGCAGGAGCGGAGAGGAGCCGTCCGGCCGGGGTGACCGGACCAGCCCTCGGGGTGCCGTGTCGTTTGAGCAGGGCTCGCGGGACTGGGCGTGTCGGGTGCCTGTGTGCAGAGCAGGAGAGGGGACAGCGTGAGGTGGGCACCGGGCGGAAGCGGCTGGAGCCTGGGGCGCACACGGAGGGAAGTGCCAGGAAGTGGCGCTGGAAAGGTCGGGCTCTGGGGCCTGTCGAACTTCACTTTGTGAGCCTGGGGAGCTGTCCTTGGAAGGAGGTTTCCTGAACCGAGCTCTGCCCTCCCACAGGCGCCCTCACAGAAAGGCCAGGAGAGCAGGCGGGAGGAGCGGCCCCGTTTGTGGCGCAGAAGCCTCCACTCCTCCCCTCCTCACCCCGCTCCCAGGGCCCCACCTCGCGTGCCCCACGTGTGCGTGCACTCAGCTCCCGGCTCCTCCGTCTTCCTGCCTCTATTTGGATCTCAGTCCGGCCCGGCCCAGCCTTCTACGCAGACACCATTTTCATGCTACTCGTAACTTCAGCACTTACCCGTTTCCTTTACCTGCTCTGCTCAGGGGGCTTGCGTTCCCTCATCTGTGTCTGTTGACGTGCCTGCTGACATGTCCTTACCAGACCTGTAGGGACTTAAACAGTTACCCTATAGTCCCTTCGGAGGACTCTCTGCTGGATGGGAAGGGGGGGTACCCTCCCGGTGTGCCGCGGGGCTGTGTGGCCTCCTTTCTAACCCTCACCACGTTCTGGTGCAGAAGGGCCAGCCAGAGACAGTCACTGCACAGACGCCACACGGCTGGGGAGCTCTGGAGCGGAGATCACGCTGACGTCGTGCCTGGGAAACCTTCACTGTCTCTTCAGCCAGACCTGACGTAAACTGCGTCCTTCCTTTAGAAATCCTGGCGGGTTAACAGTGGCTCACAGCACAGGCCTCAGAGTCAGGCAGACTTGGGTTCCAATCATAAGTACTGACCTCACTTTCTCAGGCTGCGGTGGTCCTGTCTGTTAGATGGGGGTAGCAGTTCACGCCTCAGAAATTGGTCTTGATGGGGCACCTGGGGGCTCAGTCAGGCAATAGTCCAACTTCGGCTCAGGTCATGATCTCACTGTTCATGGGTTTGAGCCCCGCGTCAGGCTCTGTGCTGACTGCCACCTCAGCCTGGAGCCTGCTTCAGATTCTGTGTCTCCCTCTTTCTCTGCCCCTCCCCTGCTCATGCTGTCTGTCTATCTCTCTCTCAATCTCTCAGAAATAAATAAAACATTTTTAAAAATGTTAAGACATTGGTCTTGAGGACAAAGTGAAGCAACATATACCATGTTTAGCTTTGTGCTTCGTTCAGAGAACCACCTTTGGGCCGTTACTATTACTAGTCCTGTGATTACTTTTTTCAAAGGATCTTTTGAAAATACTGTTGGGACTACACCAACATAAAAAGCTTTTGCACGGCCAAGGAAACCATCAACAAAAAGGCAGGCTAGTGAGTGAGAGAAGGTGTGTGCAGATGATGTACCCATAAGGGGTTAATATCCAACATACGTGAAGAACTTCCTCAACTCAGCACCGCCCAAAAATAATAAATGAGCAGAGGACCTGAATAGACGTTTTTCCAAAGAAGATGCACAGAAGGCACAGCAGACATGACAGAGAGGACACCCGGCATCACCGTTGTTGCGGAAATGCCGTCACAGCCACAGTGAGATATCACCCCACACCCGTCAGAAGGGCTCAGATCAGCAACATAAGGAACAGCAGGTGATGGTGAGGATGTGGAGCAAAGGGAACCTGTTGGTGGGGACGCCAGCTGGTGCCGCCTCTGTGGAAGCAGTGTGGAGCCCCCCCAGCTTACACAGAGAACCACCCTATGCCAGTAATTCCACTACTGGGCATTTAACTAAAGAAAATGAAAACACTAAATAGAAAAGATGCACGCAGCCCTGGACGTAGCACTTCACAGCGGCCAAGGCCACGGCAGCAGCCCCGGCGGCCGTCAGTAGATGCGTGGTATGAGGCGTGGTACTTACATATGTAGAAGGGGATGACGTCTTGCTATTTGTGACCTCGACGGTGTGGTGCTAAGTGAAATAAGTCAGAAAAAGACAAGTATTGTATGATTTCACTTTTATGTGGAATCAAAAAAAAAACAAAACAGTTGGGGCACCTGACTGGTTTGTCACTGGAGTATGTGACCCTTGATCTCGGAGTTGTGGGCTTGGGCCTCACGTTAGGTGTAGAAATTACTTAAAAGCTTTTTTAAAATAATAAAAAGTAATAGTAATAAACATAAACTCTTAAATACAAGGGACAAGCTAGTGGTCACCAGAGGGAAGGTGGATGGGGGGATGGGTGAAATAGATGAAGGGGGTTAAGAGGCAGAGACTTTAAATTATAAAATAAATGAGTCACAAGGGCGCCTGGGTGGCTCAGTCAGTTGAGCATCTGACTCTTGATTTCGGCTCAGGGCACGATCTCACCGTTTCTTGGGTTTGAGCCCCACATCAGGCTCTGCCCTGACAGCACAGAGCCAGCTTCTGTCTCTCTTTCTCTCTCTCTCTCACTCTTAAAATAAACTTTAATTAAATAAGTCACAGAGATGAAAAGTACAACATAAGAAACATAGTTGTTGTTTTTAAAGTTTTATTGTTTATTTTGACAGTGAGAGAGAAAGAGCACGAGCAGGGAGTGGCAGAGAGAGGGGGAGACACAGAATTGGAAACAGCTCCAGGCTCCGAGTTGTCAGCACAGAGCCCGACGCGGGGCTCGAACTCCTGAACCACGAGATCATGTCCTGAGCCGGAGTTGGCCACTTAGCTGACTGAGCCCCACAGGCGCCCCAGGAAACGTAGTTTGTTTTTTTTTTTTTAATCCATATTTTAATATTTTGAGGTGTAACCTGTTTGTAGCTGGTTTATTAAACTTAAGGGCATTCTGTCAAGTTACATCATAGCACTTCATACTTGCTGGTGATTTGCTTCCTGGTTTGGATTACACGTGGGTGAATGTCAGCACCAGGCGCCACGCCCCGTCTGAGGTTAGATGCTTTAAAAAAAAAAAAAGAAAAAAGCCTTTAGGTCGAGAAGGTGAGGTCTCAGTTCTGTGCGAGCTGAGGAGGGGGTGGGCAAGGTGGTCTGGGCCTGCGGGCGGCCTGCAGTTTCATAGACAGCTGAGCCTTCACAGGAGCAAGGAGCTGACGGGGCCTCGTGAGAAGCGAGGCAGTGGAGGGACAGCCCTACGTTAGGAATGCAGTTAGGGGTGAGGTGGGTCAGGATTGGAGAGCAAGCATGTGATACCAGAAATTGTAAACAAAAGGGGCAATTCTTTCAAATACTTTTTCAGCTCATTAACTAAATTTGAGTTCTTGGGCATCGGAAGTGGTAGTTGTTGGTGATGAATGTGTCCTGACCCCTTCCTGATCAAGGTCACTGGCTACTGGGACCGTCATGAATGTTAGGACTATGGGTTTACAAGCGTCATGGTGGCAGCCACCTGACGAGTCTCCAGAAGATCAGGTGCTCAGCAAACAGAAGGTGCGAGCGAGTGAGGACGTCACATTGTGTCTGGTCCACGTTTCGTGGGTGAATAGGCCGGCCTCCCCCATGGCTCCAGCCCCCCTCCTTGCCATTCGCCACGTAAGCTGTGGGCACTGGGCGCCTGCCGCCTCCTGGTGGATGCTGTAGAGCCGGGCTGTCCCTTGCGGGGCGTGTGTGGTGGCCTGAGGGACAGCAGCGGCTGGGGCCTATCCTCTTTTAAACGGCTCTGTTGTTCTCTTTCCAGTTGTTTTTTAATCCTGCAGAGTTACAGGCAGCTCATCACTGCAAATTCTCAATTTTGGAAGTGAAAATGGAACAATTAAAGAAAATTACTCATTTTCCTAAAACATTATTAATCAGCCCTTTTTTTTTGGCAGCTCAGTCAAATACAACATAATTGTATATATAGTATGTTTCTTTGAGTAAACCCAACAATTATCAATGTGTTTTTGTGGTCATTAAAATATATATGGCTCAGTCCTTGGTTCGAAAAACTGAGACTTTATTGTACGGTGCGAAATAAGCTGCAGAGAGAGACCGTGCGCGCCAAGGATTAGGCATTAAAGCACTTGAGAGAGAAACAGAGGCAGGCCGAATGGACCCTGCTGGGGAGCGAGGGGAGCACGGGGTTTTCTGGGCGTGGCGGATGGGCCGGGATGGGGAAGCAGAGAGCAGCCTGGAAGGGCATCCCAGACAGGGAACAGCGCACGAGGGAGACTTGCAGGCCGTTCCGCTGACATTAATGACACGGTGTGTCCCCGCACCCCTGCTCCTGTGAGTAGGGGCGGCGGTGGCTGGTCCCCGGGGGTGCGGGGGGAGGCTTGGATGTATGTACTAGGCTGAGGACAGCAGACTCTTCTCTCTCAGGCTGAGGTGAGTCGCAGGAAGCAGGATGGAAGTTTCACTTTAGGAAGATTGATCTAAAGAGAGGTTTCAGGACACATGAAATAAGAGCCTAGAAAATGAGGCCGGTTAGGAAGCAATTGTGGAAACCCAGTTGTAGAGTGAGGGCCTGAGCAGAGGAGGCCGAGGCAGGGCAGGGGCCTGCAGCACCGGTGAGGGTCCAGGGGAGAGCGGACAGTCAGAGAAAGTAGACTGACCAGCAGGCCAGACGCGGAAGGTTCCGGCTGGGCCGCGGGCGGGGCTCCGGGGCGTGGACCCTCGAAGGTAAGGGGGTGGGTGCCAGAGTGCACAGTTGTGGTGACCAAGTGGCACGAAGAGACAAGAAGATTACGATTTATCGAAGTTTAACAAACATGGTTGAAAGGAGAGAGGTTGGAGAGAGGAAACTGAGCAAATAATGTTTTTTCCTATGAAGGAAAAGAGTGGCTCAAATTTGGCAGCGGGGCAGGGCCACTAAAGGAGGCCCCCGAGGAGGAGGTCTGCGTGGAGGGGCCTCCGGGTGGGAGGAGGCCCCTGCTAGGTAGGCTCAGGGATGGCCAGGGTGGCGGGGTGCCCACGGAGACTGTGGAAGCCTCTAGTTTGCTTTAGTGACTTACAGGAGCAAGTTGTCCTTTATCGAGGTTGGGACGGGCCAGAGCCAGCGACTGAAGGCTGACAAGCATGGAGACTTGCAGTGGCCTAGGGATTTTTAAGATTAAAAAGAAAAGGCCAGTGACTCCATTGCCGGCAGCTGAGGGGTGGCCAGAGTCCCTTTGTGAGTAAGCCTGTGACCCGGAGGCCTCAGAGGGCGGGAGCTCAGCGCGCCGGCTGCGCCCTCCGCCGGTTCCGGGGAGCCCTTCTGTTCAGGAGATGCGTCTGCCCCAACGCAGAGACCTGCCGTGTGCCGTGCTCCCCACTGCCTTTACAGCACGAGTCCCCGCGGCCGAGCCGACCACAGTGGCCGGAAGCCACCTTAGTGGGCGTGCGTCTGGCCCCGCCCTTTGCCTCCGAGCTCTGAGCCCTGCGCCCCTGCCCCCGGGGGCCTAGGACGCCAGCCAGCTCACCGTGCGTCTCTTGCAGTCCCAACCAGGTTGCAGAAAAGGTGGCCTCCAGGATCGCCGAGGGCTTCAGCGACACAGCTCTCGTCATGGTGAGTCACTCGGGCGCTGTCGTGCTTGCTGTCGCCGGCCCCGCTGCTGAGCCTTCTCTCGCTCGCGTGGAGCTTTCCCGTGTAAGTGCTCTCTCTGCAGAGGCTCCGTCAGACCCGTGCCGCCCTCTGTGCCCCTCTCCCGACTCGCGGGGCGCAGCGCACATGCCGCGGGCAGCATGGCACACGCCACGCCTCCGGAAGGGCACAGTCACCCCAGTTCAGTGGTTCTCAGGGTGGGGTTCTGTGCCAGTCACAGCAGCACCCCCTGGAACTTGTCAGAAATTCTCAGGGCCCAGCAGGCTGCTTTAACAAGCTTCCAGATGATTCTGATGCACGCTCAAGTGTGAGAGCCATTGAATTAGAGCAGCTGACGGCCCAGAGGGAAGGAAGAAGTCAGGTAGATGGTAGCGGACATCAAAGTCAATTCAGACCCACTTCTAACAGAGCGGGAAGAAGTCATGGTCAGAAGCGCTGCTTCTGCGAGGGTGCCGGTTAGTACCGAGCGTCCGCTCTGCGTAATGCACGGTGACCTCGGACCACACTCGAGGTGTGACTGCATGCATTGGGCTTGCGGTGTCCGCACTGCGTGGGGGCTTCTGTCCGAGCTGGGGCTTCAGCTGCTGCCCTGAGCCACGAGGTGACAGGACTTCCAGAAAGGTGCTGGCCACCACCCTTTGTTAGCTCTGTTCACAAGTGCGTCCTTTGTCTTGTACACAGGTGGACAACACTAAGTTTACGATGGACTGCGTGGTGCCCACGATCCACGTGTACGAGCACCATGAAAACAAATGGCGGTGCAGAGACCCACACTAGTGAGTGCCGTGTCCTCGGGGCGGCCCCGCGCAGGGTGCTGGGGGCTGGTCCACGGGAAAGCCCGCCCGGCTTTCTGGTTTCCGGTTAGCGTGCTCTGCGGGGGCGCGTGCAAACCTCATATAGGAAGCGCGCGTGCTCTCGGGGTCCCCCGCCCCCAGGGCCCCTCTTTCAGGGCTTTGCTCTGGTTATCTATAACCACTCCCGGAGCCACTGGCGCCCGCCTCCGCACCCCCCGCCCGAGCTTCTTCGGGATTTCGTCTGGAGGAGGCTCCTTCGTTTCTTAGCCGGGTCCCGCACTCTGCACATCTCTGTTTAAAACCCACATGTGTGCCCGGACCCATGAATGTCCTCCTTTGTGCCACCGTGCGTGCGTGCGGCCGGGTTTCTGTGTGCTCTGGGGGAAAGCCACCTGTTCCGGGCCAAGAGCCTGATCTCTCCTGTTTCGCCTCGTAGTGATTACTGTGAAGACTGGCCAGAGGCCCAGAGGATCTCCGCGTCACTCCTGGACAGCCGGTCGTACGAGACCCTTGTGGATTTCGATAACCACCTCGATGACATCCGGAATGACTGGACGAACCCGGAGATCAACAGGGCCGTCCTGCACCTGTGCTAGGGAGCTGCGTGCGAGACTGCCCTCGGGCCTGCGCCCTGCGCCCCGGAGGAGAAAGCTATTTTTAAATGTAAATAAGATCTCCCCTATAGCCTGCGTGGGGAGCTGACAGTTTCCCAGGCGGCATGTGTCCTGACAGAGCGCAGGACGTCCGTCAGCCGGCTTCTTAGTTAACGCAGAGTCGCTGGAGGAGGTCCAGAGTGTCCCGTCCGACCGCCCCTGCGGAGTCCCTCCCAGTTGTATGTTGCTCTGATCCTCCAAATCGGAGCTGTTTCTGCTTGTCCGAGATTGTTCCTATTAAACAGTTTTAGCCTTTTATAATCTGGAGAGAATACTTCTTAAGGCTCATGAACTACCTTTAAAAGAAAAAAAGAAAAAACCCAAATCTTGTACGTGAGTGTTTGTGACTTTTCATCGTGCTTGGGTTCGCGTTGGGCCCCGGGATCAGGTGTGTGGCGCCCTGGCGTCTGCGCTGGGGACACTGCGGCCCCACGCCAGGTGGGCGCGCGTCGGGGAACGATGGCACTGTGGCCTGAGAGACGGCCATCGTGAAGGGTGAGAGCAGCCGCCGCGGGTGGCGGGGACTCGTGCGGGTCACCGCGTGATGTTTCTCTGTCAACCGCAAAGCTCGTAAACCTGTGGGACTGAAATAGGGCAAAGGGAACTAAGATGATCTTTGAAAGGCAGAAATCAGCCCCAGCTCCTAACTCACTGGCGTGATTATCCAAATGGCTCTAATCTGTTCCCTAAAGGAATCGTTCCTTTTGTATTTGAAGTAACAAAAGCGAAACACTGCAGGACCCACCCCCACCCCCCACCCCCCCGCCCCGTGTCTCCCGAGCGCTGGGGGCCCCCGGGCAGGACCGAGCGCTGGGGGCCCCCGGGCGGGACCGGAGGTCAGGCTCTGTAATGCCGTCCGAGGAAGGGTGGGGGGCTCTACGGTGCCGCTGCCTCTTTTCTCTCCCACAGGGGTCATCTTCTCTGCCCTCTCTTCAGACACCCCTCCCCCCGGACTTCTGAGGCCGCCGTTCCTTGCCATGAGGACGCGGATGGAGGGGGACGGGGCGCAGAGCAGTGAGCAGTCTCGTTCCCAGTGAGTCTGTTTCAAAACGGGAGAAGGCTGACCCTCAGCATCCCCACCAGAGAGAGCTCTTGTCCCGGGATTAAAACCAGCACGTGCCCCCTGTGGCCCAAGGTCAAGGGGAGCTGGCAGAGCTGGGTGGAATGAAGGTGTGGCCAAGGCTAGTTTGGGAGGCATTTGAAAGACCGACTCTTGTTCTACCTCCTCTTCACCTCTGCGGATCCCGTGTGCTTGTCTCCCCACCAGCTTCCCGGGAACGCCGTGCCGCCCTCCGGTTCGGATTTCCTGGAACCGGGTTCCCGTTCTGTGGCCGAGTCAGGCTTAGGTTCTCAGAAGAAAGCATGCTAAATCTTCCAAAAGGAAGCATGTGTGTTTAAAAAAACCAGAAACACATTTCTCAAGTGCACCCACCTCCTACATCCTTGTAAAAACAGCAGAAGCCTGTGATGGGCTCGCCTCCGAGCCTCAAGGTGCCCCCCCGCCCCCCCCCCCAGACAGAAGTGAGACGCTGCTGGGGTAGCCACGCATTTGTGTTCTTCCTTGCCTTTTTGTAGAAAAGATTTCAAGGACTGACACAAAGCACATTCGTGTCCTGAAAAGCTTTGTCCGTCAAAATGTTCTTAAATCTGAAGGGATCTGAGGGCGGCGGGGGCTTTGTGTAGGGGTGTCCCCTCAGAGCCGGCCGTGCCCACCCGGGACAAAGTATTGGAGGGTAAAATGTTTCCATTTCTAACCACGGTCACCTTAAGAACCGAGGACACCGAATGTGGAAAAGTCGGTGGAAACTTCATAAATAACGAAACTGCCTGCTGGAAGGAATTGGTTTTGCCAATCCTAATGGAATTAAGTGGATGTAGAATGAAAAACAAACTTCGAAATCTTGAGCAATTTAAATTTTTTTATGTTTGTTTATTTTTGAGAGAGAGAGAGAGAGAGCGCACAAGCCGGGGGGAGAGATGGAGACCAGAATCGGAAGCAGCTCCGGGCTCTGAGCTGTCAGCACACAGCCCGATGTGGGGCTCAAACTCCCGAACCAAGAGATCATGACCCTAGGCGAAGTCGGACACTTAACCAACTGAGCCCCCCAGGCGCCCTGCAATTTGAATTTTCCAGTCCGTTTTCCAGGTATCTGGTGTTTCTAAGCCTCCTTGGTGTAAAAAGTCCTCTTGTATTTAGTTAAAGAGCTAATTTTTCTGACATACTTGGAAAACCTGCTATTTGTGCATCTAATGATTCTCAGCTACAGAGAACAGCACTTCCCTCATCGCCCGCCGTTGGCGTATCCGTCCTGACGGGAGCTACTTTGTGCCGTCGTGGTAGCTGGACTCCAGGACGCGGCCAGAAGAATCCATCTCCGTGCCCTGCGGACATTTGTAGCCATTTTCATGAAGAGAGCCGAGTCTAAAGATAGACTTCTGTTGGACTCGTTGACATTTCTTGAGGCTTTCCGTCAACTCCATGCCTCTTAAACCTGGGTTTTTTTTCCTCGATTCGATACAGAGAAAGCCAGGCAGCGACTGTTGGATTGTGCCCCCTCTGGCAGCTCTCAGGTCGGCGGGAGCGCTCTGACTTCCTTTCCACGTGCTGCAGAACCGAGCGGATAACTTGGATAGTTTCATCCTCACCATTTTGACGTATTTTTCCTTAAAACGTCCAAGATACCTTCGAACAGGACGCAAAATGTGATCACCTCTGCCGTGCCTTAGAATAAATTGCTGCTTCTAAGGATCCTTTTTTCCCTTGAGGATTCGCTCTCCGGGGCGGATATTGCCCTGCTGAGGGCTTTCCTTTAGAACGTGAGACCGCATCCAGCTCTAGAGCCGCCAGGAATTGTGTTCTTGGTCTTTTGCTTTCAAAGCAGTGTGTCAGGTGCCAGCAAAGCGTCCACTTGCACTTAACTGGAGGAAACCTTTGGCTCACGCTCGTGTTGCCTTGCAGAGCAGAATAACCCACTACATCTAGTGCTGTCCCAACAAACGTTCCAGACACCAGTCATAAACCTGTAAATAATTGCATTGCAGAATGATCCTGGAGCTGTGCGGGCAAGGCTCCTGGCCTGGCACAGCCCCCAGTGGCTGGGGAGTCTGTCCCCATGCCCCACACGGGCCAGCTTGCCAAGGGCCCCGGATGCGCCTCGGGCCCTGATGGTTGAGTGAAACCCAAGGGGGACAGGATTCGGTACCATCTGGGTCCCTTCTGTGTATCCGCCTCGTTCCTGGAGAAGAGCCGATCAGCTCGGGGCTGGATTTTCTCACAAAGGAGAATCTTCCCGCTGCCTCCAGCGGTGCCTCACTCCCTATCAGGTGCCTCCACGAGGCAGCCGCGGGTGACACCAGCCAGCGGGAGGAGGGGGTGGCGGTGAGAGGTCCAGCCCTGCCGCCAAGGCCGCCTGCACTGGGGCTGCTTGAGGAGGCTTCGGCACCGCTGGCGCCCTAGCAGTTCGGGGCCAGACCGAGCACGGCCCGCGCTGCCTCCGTCCCGCGCACGTTCACTGAGCCGCTAAGCGAGCGCACGAAAGCAGCCTTCTCCAAAGACGACGGCAGCTTGGGTCTGGCCCTTCCCTCACGTGTACCTTCCCAGCCGCGCGCTGATGTCTCGGGCTCGTCCGCACTGCGCAGTGGAAGCCAGGACTCGGCGTGGGCGGGTCTGCCCGAGACCCAGACCGGAGGGGAAGGGGAGGCGAGGGCAGAAAAGCCGTGTCTTCCTCTTTCCCACCCCCCCCATCGGCTTCCTGCCCCCACGCCAGAGCCAGCACATTTTCGTCCTCCCTGTGACATGTGCTCATGGCAGAGAAACAAAGTCACTCCCCCCATTCTCCTGCCCCCCCCCAACAAAGACAAGGTAGAAAGTCAACTGTGCAGGAAGTCCTGGACGCTGAGGACCTTACAACATAATTTAAGACATAGAAGATGTAAATACAAGGAAAATATCAGGAAACGTGAGCAGATTCCTGGGTCCAGACCCCAAGCATTCCAATTCATTGGGATTCTGGGCCCAGAAGTTGGCATTCGTAGCAGGTAGGTTGAGATCCACAGAAATGCGGAGATTTACCCCGTGGTACCCAGACAGCCGGGCCCTGAGGAACTGGACATGAAGTTGACCCTGTGAACCCTAACTGGGCAGGTCAGCAGCCGAGAACATCACCGCTCCTCCGGGCTCACGCTAGCAGAATTCAGGGCTCCTGAGTGAACTCTGTCTCTTTGATTGTTTTTTCTTTTTTAAAACATGGCACACACCATGCACAAAATGTGTGCTTAACATCTGAGCCACATGAAGCAGACTGAGACAGACTCCCAGCTTTTGAATAATCTCATAGCCCTAGACCCAGGATGATAGAGCAAATTGGTGTCTTATGCTTCCTCTGCCTTCTGAGGTGTCTTACACGTCTTTAATTTTTTTTTTTTTAATGTTTATTTACTTTTGAGAGAGAGACAGCATGAGCGAGGGAAGGCAGAGAGGGAGACACAGAATCGGAAGCAGGCTCCAGGCTCTGAGCTGTCAGCACAGAGCCCGACGCGGGGCTCGAACCCATAAACCATGAGATCATGACCTAAGCCGAAGTCGGACGCTTAACTGAGTGAGCCCCCAGGCACCCACGTCTTTAATTCTCAAAGTGTGGGCTCTGAGCTGTTCTCTACTTCTCATTGCCAGGAGGTCCCCTCATAGTGAGACTCCTGTGTCCCAGGAGCGCCTTCCTGGCCCCCATCTCTTAAAGACATGTGCCCACGGGGACCTGCTATATAGATCAGCTCCAACAAGCAAATTATCTGAAATCTCCCCTTTGGCTGATATCCTTCTAACTACTTCTCCTAAACGTCAGAGCTCCGTATTTTTGAATTCTGAAGTCTTAGATTTAAATTTGGAAGAGATGTGCCACGAACCACCTTTGTAAGATTGTAATTCTTATTTTCTGGACTCAAACACTGGGTTTCCGCACCGTTACGTTGCCCTCTTCCATCCATCTCCCGAGTTCCCTGAGTCCTGTCTCAGACATGGCAAGAGTTTTTTATTTTAATGAACTGTATTTGTGGAAGTACAACATAACACAGAAGAGTACAAATCACGAACACGTAGGTCAGTGCATTTTCACAAAGCGAATGAAGTGGACAGGCTCCTGTAACCTCTACCGAGGTCAAAACATAGACTCTTAGAACATTACCGGCACCGAGAGCCGCTCATGCCCACAGCGTGGACTAGTACTACCTGGTTGTTGACCTTTAAAGAAATACGGGTTTACAGG